TTTAAACAAAACGAATGATTTCGACTCATTAAATTATGATAATCATATCTACCAAATGCCCCTCATTTACATAAATATTATGCTAGCATTTACCATCTCACTTCTAGGAATACTAGTATATCGCTCACACCTCATATCCTCCCTACTATGCCTAGAAGGAATAATACTATCGCTGTTCATTATAGCTACTCTCATAACCCTCAACACCCACTCCCTCTTAGCCAATATTGTGCCTATTGCCATACTAGTCTTTGCCGCCTGCGAAGCAGCGGTGGGCCTAGCCCTACTAGTCTCAATCTCCAACACATATGGCCTAGACTACGTACATAACCTAAACCTACTCCAATGCTAAAACTAATCGTCCCAACAATTATATTACTACCACTGACATGACTTTCCAAAAAACACATAATTTGAATCAACACAACCACCCACAGCCTAATTATTAGCATCATCCCTCTACTATTTTTTAACCAAATCAACAACAACCTATTTAGCTGTTCCCCAACCTTTTCCTCCGACCCCCTAACAACCCCCCTCCTAATACTAACTACCTGACTCCTACCCCTCACAATCATGGCAAGCCAACGCCACTTATCCAGTGAACCACTATCACGAAAAAAACTCTACCTCTCTATACTAATCTCCCTACAAATCTCCTTAATTATAACATTCACAGCCACAGAACTAATCATATTTTATATCTTCTTCGAAACCACACTTATCCCCACCTTGGCTATCATCACCCGATGAGGCAACCAGCCAGAACGCCTGAACGCAGGCACATACTTCCTATTCTACACCCTAGTAGGCTCCCTTCCCCTACTCATCGCACTGATTTACACTCACAACACCCTAGGCTCACTAAACATTCTACTACTCACTCTCACTGCCCAAGAACTATCAAACTCCTGAGCCAACAACTTAATATGACTAGCTTACACAATAGCTTTTATAGTAAAGATACCTCTTTACGGACTCCACTTATGACTCCCTAAAGCCCATGTCGAAGCCCCCATCGCTGGGTCAATAGTACTTGCCGCAGTACTCTTAAAACTAGGCGGCTATGGTATAATACGCCTCACACTCATTCTCAACCCCCTGACAAAACACATAGCCTACCCCTTCCTTGTACTATCCCTATGAGGCATAATTATAACAAGCTCCATCTGCCTACGACAAACAGACCTAAAATCGCTCATTGCATACTCTTCAATCAGCCACATAGCCCTCGTAGTAACAGCCATTCTCATCCAAACCCCCTGAAGCTTCACCGGCGCAGTCATTCTCATAATCGCCCACGGACTTACATCCTCATTACTATTCTGCCTAGCAAACTCAAACTACGAACGCACTCACAGTCGCATCATAATCCTCTCTCAAGGACTTCAAACTCTGCTCCCACTAATAGCTTTTTGATGACTTCTAGCAAGCCTCGCTAACCTCGCCTTACCCCCCACTATTAACCTACTGGGAGAACTCTCTGTGCTAGTAACCACGTTCTCCTGATCAAATATCACTCTCCTACTTACAGGACTCAACATACTAGTCACAGCCCTATACTCCCTCTACATATTTACCACAACACAATGGGGCTCACTCACCCACCACATTAACAACATAAAACCCTCATTCACACGAGAAAACACCCTCATGTTCATACACCTATCCCCCATTCTCCTCCTATCCCTCAACCCCGACATCATTACCGGGTTTTCCTCTTGTAAATATAGTTTAACCAAAACATCAGATTGTGAATCTGACAACAGAGGCTTACGACCCCTTATTTACCGAGAAAGCTCACAAGAACTGCTAACTCATGCCCCCATGTCTAACAACATGGCTTTCTCAACTTTTAAAGGATAACAGCTATCCATTGGTCTTAGGCCCCAAAAATTTTGGTGCAACTCCAAATAAAAGTAATAACCATGCACACTACTATAACCACCCTAACCCTGACTTCCCTAATTCCCCCCATCCTTACCACCCTCGTTAACCCTAACAAAAAAAACTCATACCCCCATTATGTAAAATCCATTGTCGCATCCACCTTTATTATCAGTCTCTTCCCCACAACAATATTCATGTGCCTAGACCAAGAAGTTATTATCTCGAACTGACACTGAGCCACAACCCAAACAACCCAGCTCTCCCTAAGCTTCAAACTAGACTACTTCTCCATAATATTCATCCCTGTAGCATTGTTCGTTACATGGTCCATCATAGAATTCTCACTGTGATATATAAACTCAGACCCAAACATTAATCAGTTCTTCAAATATCTACTCATCTTCCTAATTACCATACTAATCTTAGTTACCGCTAACAACCTATTCCAACTGTTCATCGGCTGAGAGGGCGTAGGAATTATATCCTTCTTGCTCATCAGTTGATGATACGCCCGAGCAGATGCCAACACAGCAGCCATTCAAGCAATCCTATACAACCGTATCGGCGATATCGGTTTCATCCTCGCCTTAGCATGATTTATCCTACACTCCAACTCATGAGACCCACAACAAATAGCCCTTCTAAACGCTAATCCAAGCCTCACCCCACTACTAGGCCTCCTCCTAGCAGCAGCAGGCAAATCAGCCCAATTAGGTCTCCACCCCTGACTCCCCTCAGCCATAGAAGGCCCCACCCCAGTCTCAGCCCTACTCCACTCAAGCACTATAGTTGTAGCAGGAATCTTCTTACTCATCCGCTTCCACCCCCTAGCAGAAAATAGCCCACTAATCCAAACTCTAACACTATGCTTAGGCGCTATCACCACTCTGTTCGCAGCAGTCTGCGCCCTTACACAAAATGACATCAAAAAAATCGTAGCCTTCTCCACTTCAAGTCAACTAGGACTCATAATAGTTACAATCGGCATCAACCAACCACACCTAGCATTCCTGCACATCTGTACCCACGCCTTCTTCAAAGCCATACTATTTATGTGCTCCGGATCCATCATCCACAACCTTAACAATGAACAAGATATTCGAAAAATAGGAGGACTACTCAAAACCATACCTCTCACTTCAACCTCCCTCACCATTGGCAGCCTAGCATTAGCAGGAATACCTTTCCTCACAGGTTTCTACTCCAAAGACCACATCATCGAAACCGCAAACATATCATACACAAACGCCTGAGCCCTATCTATTACTCTCATCGCTACCTCCCTGACAAGCGCCTATAGCACTCGAATAATTCTTCTCACCCTAACAGGTCAACCTCGCTTCCCCACCCTTACTAACATTAACGAAAATAACCCCACCCTACTAAACCCCATTAAACGCCTGGCAGCCGGAAGCCTATTCGCAGGATTTCTCATTACTAACAACATTTCCCCCGCATCCCCCTTCCAAACAACAATCCCCCTCTACCTAAAACTCACAGCCCTCGCTGTCACTTTCCTAGGACTTCTAACAGCCCTAGACCTCAACTACCTAACCAACAAACTTAAAATAAAATCCCCACTATGCACATTTTATTTCTCCAACATACTCGGATTCTACCCTAGCATCACACACCGCACAATCCCCTATCTAGGCCTTCTTACGAGCCAAAACCTGCCCCTACTCCTCCTAGACCTAACCTGACTAGAAAAGCTATTACCTAAAACAATTTCACAGCACCAAATCTCCACCTCCATCATCACCTCAACCCAAAAAGGCATAATTAAACTTTACTTCCTCTCTTTCTTCTTCCCACTCATCCTAACCCTACTCCTAATCACATAACCTATTCCCCCGAGCAATCTCAATTACAATATATACACCAACAAACAATGTTCAACCAGTAACTACTACTAATCAACGCCCATAGTCATACAAAGCCCCCGCACCAATAGGATCCTCCCGAATCAACCCTGACCCCTCTCCTTCATAAATTATTCAGCTTCCTACACTATTAAAGTTTACCACAACCACCACCCCATCATACTCTTTCACCCACAGCACCAATCCTACCTCCATCGCTAACCCCACTAAAACACTCACCAAGACCTCAACCCCTGACCCCCATGCCTCAGGATACTCCTCAATAGCCATCGCTGTAGTATATCCAAAGACAACCATCATTCCCCCTAAATAAATTAAAAAAACTATTAAACCCATATAACCTCCCCCAAAATTCAGAATAATAACACACCCGACCACACCGCTAACAATCAATACTAAACCCCCATAAATAGGAGAAGGCTTAGAAGAAAACCCCACAAACCCCATTACTAAACCCACACTCAACAGAAACAAAGCATACATCATTATTCTCGCACGGACTACAACCACGACCAATGATATGAAAAACCATCGTTGTATTTCAACTACAAGAACACCAATGACCCCAATACGCAAAATTAACCCCCTAATAAAATTAATTAACCACTCATTCATCGACCTCCCCACCCCATCCAACATCTCCGCATGATGAAACTTCGGCTCACTCCTTGGCGCCTGCCTGATCCTCCAAATCACCACAGGACTATTCCTAGCCATACACTACTCACCAGACGCCTCAACCGCCTTTTCATCAATCGCCCACATCACTCGAGACGTAAATTATGGCTGAATCATCCGCTACCTTCACGCCAATGGCGCCTCAATATTCTTTATCTGCCTCTTCCTACACATCGGGCGAGGCCTATATTACGGATCATTTCTCTACTCAGAAACCTGAAACATCGGCATTATCCTCCTGCTTGCAACTATAGCAACAGCCTTCATAGGCTATGTCCTCCCGTGAGGCCAAATATCATTCTGAGGGGCCACAGTAATTACAAACTTACTATCCGCCATCCCATACATTGGGACAGACCTAGTTCAATGAATCTGAGGAGGCTACTCAGTAGACAGTCCCACCCTCACACGATTCTTTACCTTTCACTTCATCTTGCCCTTCATTATTGCAGCCCTAGCAGCACTCCACCTCCTATTCTTGCACGAAACGGGATCAAACAACCCCCTAGGAATCACCTCCCATTCCGATAAAATCACCTTCCACCCTTACTACACAATCAAAGACGCCCTCGGCTTACTTCTCTTCATTCTCTCCTTAATGACATTAACACTATTCTCACCAGACCTCCTAGGCGACCCAGACAATTATACCCTAGCCAACCCCTTAAACACCCCTCCCCACATCAAGCCCGAATGATATTTCCTATTCGCCTACACAATTCTCCGATCCGTCCCTAACAAGCTAGGAGGCGTCCTTGCCCTATTACTATCCATCCTCATCCTAGCAATAATCCCCATCCTCCATATATCCAAACAACAAAGCATAATATTTCGCCCACTAAGCCAATCACTTTATTGACTCCTAGCCGCAGACCTCCTCATTCTAACCTGAATCGGAGGACAACCAGTAAGCTACCCTTTTACCATCATTGGACAAGTAGCATCCGTACTATACTTCACAACAATCCTAATCCTAATACCAACTATCTCCCTAATTGAAAACAAAATACTCAAATGGGCCTGTCCTTGTAGTATAAACTAATACACCAGTCTTGTAAACCGAAGATGAAAACCTTTTTCCAAGGACAAATCAGAGAAAAAGTCTTTAACTCCACCATTAGCACCCAAAGCTAAGATTCTAATTTAAACTATTCTCTGTTCTTTCATGGGGAAGCAGATTTGGGTACCACCCAAGTATTGACTCACCCATCAACAACCGCTATGTATTTCGTACATTACTGCCAGCCACCATGAATATTGCACGGTACCATAAATACTTGACCACCTGTAGTACATAAAAACCCAATCCACATCAAAACCCCCCCCCCCATGCTTACAAGCAAGTACAGCAATCAACCCTCAACTATCACACATCAACTGCAACTCCAAAGCCACCCCTCACCCACTAGGATACCAACAAACCTACCCATCTTTAACAGTACATAGTACATAAAGCCATTTACCGTACATAGCACATTACAGTCAAATCCCTTCTCGTCCCCATGGATGACCCCCCTCAGATAGGGGTCCCTTGACCACCATCCTCCGTGAAATCAATATCCCGCACAAGAGTGCTACTCTCCTCGCTCCGGGCCCATAACACTTGGGGGTAGCTAAAGTGAACTGTATCCGACATCTGGTTCCTACTTCAGGGCCATAAAGCCTAAATAGCCCACACGTTCCCCTTAAATAAGACATCACGATGGATCACAGGTCTATCACCCTATTAACCACTCACGGGAGCTCTCCATGCATTTGGTATTTTCGTCTGGGGGGTGTGCACGCGATAGCATTGCGAGACGCTGGAGCCGGAGCACCCTATGTCGCAGTATCTGTCTTTGATTCCTGCCTCATCCTATTATTTATCGCACCTACGTTCAATATTACAGGCGAACATACTTACTAAAGTGTGTTAATTAATTAATGCTTGTAGGACATAATAATAACAATTGAATGTCTGCACAGCCGCTTTCCACACAGACATCATAACAAAAAATTTCCACCAAACCCCCCCTCCCCCCGCTTCTGGCCACAGCACTTAAACACATCTCTGCCAAACCCCAAAAACAAAGAACCCTAACACCAGCCTAACCAGATTTCAAATTTTATCTTTTGGCGGTATGCACTTTTAACAGTCACCCCCCAACTAACACATTATTTTCCCCTCCCACTCCCATACTACTAATCTCATCAATACAACCCCCGCCCATCCTACCCAGCACACACACACCGCTGCTAACCCCATACCCCGAACCAACCAAACCCCAAAGACACCCCCCACAGTTTATGTAGCTTACCTCCTCAAAGCAATACACTGAAAATGTTTAGACGGGCTCACATCACCCCATAAACAAATAGGTTTGGTCCTAGCCTTTCTATTAGCTCTTAGTAAGATTACACATGCAAGCATCCCCATTCCAGTGAGTTCACCCTCTAAATCACCACGATCAAAAGGGACAAGCATCAAGCACGCAGCAATGCAGCTCAAAACGCTTAGCCTAGCCACACCCCCACGGGAAACAGCAGTGATTAACCTTTAGCAATAAACGAAAGTTTAACTAAGCTATACTAACCCCAGGGTTGGTCAATTTCGTGCCAGCCACCGCGGTCACACGATTAACCCAAGTCAATAGAAGCCGGCGTAAAGAGTGTTTTAGATCACCCCCTCCCCAATAAAGCTAAAACTCACCTGAGTTGTAAAAAACTCCAGTTGACACAAAATAGACTACGAAAGTGGCTTTAACATATCTGAACACACAATAGCTAAGACCCAAACTGGGATTAGATACCCCACTATGCTTAGCCCTAAACCTCAACAGTTAAATCAACAAAACTGCTCGCCAGAACACTACGAGCCACAGCTTAAAACTCAAAGGACCTGGCGGTGCTTCATATCCCTCTAGAGGAGCCTGTTCTGTAATCGATAAACCCCGATCAACCTCACCACCTCTTGCTCAGCCTATATACCGCCATCTTCAGCAAACCCTGATGAAGGCTACAAAGTAAGCGCAAGTACCCACGTAAAGACGTTAGGTCAAGGTGTAGCCCATGAGGTGGCAAGAAATGGGCTACATTTTCTACCCCAGAAAACTACGATAGCCCTTATGAAACTTAAGGGTCGAAGGTGGATTTAGCAGTAAACTGAGAGTAGAGTGCTTAGTTGAACAGGGCCCTGAAGCGCGTACACACCGCCCGTCACCCTCCTCAAGTATACTTCAAAGGACATTTAACTAAAACCCCTACGCATTTATATAGAGGAGACAAGTCGTAACATGGTAAGTGTACTGGAAAGTGCACTTGGACGAACCAGAGTGTAGCTTAACACAAAGCACCCAACTTACACTTAGGAGATTTCAACTTAACTTGACCGCTCTGAGCTAAACCTAGCCCCAAACCCACTCCACCTTACTACCAGACAACCTTAGCCAAACCATTTACCCAAATAAAGTATAGGCGATAGAAATTGAAACCTGGCGCAATAGATATAGTACCGCAAGGGAAAGATGAAAAATTATAACCAAGCATAATATAGCAAGGACTAACCCCTATACCTTCTGCATAATGAATTAACTAGAAATAACTTTGCAAGGAGAACCAAAGCTAAGACCCCCGAAACCAGACGAGCTACCTAAGAACAGCTAAAAGAGCACACCCGTCTATGTAGCAAAATAGTGGGAAGATTTATAGGTAGAGGCGACAAACCTACCGAGCCTGGTGATAGCTGGTTGTCCAAGATAGAATCTTAGTTCAACTTTAAATTTGCCCACAGAACCCTCTAAATCCCCTTGTAAATTTAACTGTTAGTCCAAAGAGGAACAGCTCTTTGGACACTAGGAAAAAACCTTGTAGAGAGAGTAAAAAATTTAACACCCATAGTAGGCCTAAAAGCAGCCACCAATTAAGAAAGCGTTCAAGCTCAACACCCACTACCTAAAAAATCCCAAACATATAACTGAACTCCTCACACCCAATTGGACCAATCTATCACCCTATAGAAGAACTAATGTTAGTATAAGTAACATGAAAACATTCTCCTCCGCATAAGCCTGCGTCAGATTAAAACACTGAACTGACAATTAACAGCCCAATATCTACAATCAACCAACAAGTCATTATTACCCTCACTGTCAACCCAACACAGGCATGCTCATAAGGAAAGGTTAAAAAAAGTAAAAGGAACTCGGCAAATCTTACCCCGCCTGTTTACCAAAAACATCACCTCTAGCATCACCAGTATTAGAGGCACCGCCTGCCCAGTGACACATGTTTAACGGCCGCGGTACCCTAACCGTGCAAAGGTAGCATAATCACTTGTTCCTTAAATAGGGACCTGTATGAATGGCTCCACGAGGGTTCAGCTGTCTCTTACTTTTAACCAGTGAAATTGACCTGCCCGTGAAGAGGCGGGCATGACACAGCAAGACGAGAAGACCCTATGGAGCTTTAATTTATTAATGCAAACAGTACCTAACAAACCCACAGGTCCTAAACTACCAAACCTGCATTAAAAATTTCGGTTGGGGCGACCTCGGAGCAGAACCCAACCTCCGAGCAGTACATGCTAAGACTTCACCAGTCAAAGCGAACTACTATACTCAATTGATCCAATAACTTGACCAACGGAACAAGTTACCCTAGGGATAACAGCGCAATCCTATTCTAGAGTCCATATCAACAATAGGGTTTACGACCTCGATGTTGGATCAGGACATCCCGATGGTGCAGCCGCTATTAAAGGTTCGTTTGTTCAACGATTAAAGTCCTACGTGATCTGAGTTCAGACCGGAGTAATCCAGGTCGGTTTCTATCTACTTCAAATTCCTCCCTGTACGAAAGGACAAGAGAAATAAGGCCTACTTCACAAAGCGCCTTCCCCCGTAAATGATATCATCTCAACTTAGTATTATACCCACACCCACCCAAGAACAGGGTTTGTTAAGATGGCAGAGCCCGGTAATCGCATAAAACTTAAAACTTTACAGTCAGAGGTTCAATTCCTCTTCTTAACAACATACCCATGGCCAACCTCCTACTCCTCATTGTACCCATTCTAATCGCAATGGCATTCCTAATGCTTACCGAACGAAAAATTCTAGGCTATATACAACTACGCAAAGGCCCCAACGTTGTAGGCCCCTACGGGCTACTACAACCCTTCGCTGACGCCATAAAACTCTTCACCAAAGAGCCCCTAAAACCCGCCACATCTACCATCACCCTCTACATCACCGCCCCGACCTTAGCTCTCACCATCGCTCTTCTACTATGAACCCCCCTCCCCATACCCAACCCCCTGGTCAACCTCAACCTAGGCCTCCTATTTATTCTAGCCACCTCTAGCCTAGCCGTTTACTCAATCCTCTGATCAGGGTGAGCATCAAACTCAAACTACGCCCTGATCGGCGCACTGCGAGCAGTAGCCCAAACAATCTCATATGAAGTCACCCTAGCCATCATTCTACTATCAACATTACTAATAAGTGGCTCCTTTAACCTCTCCACCCTTATCACAACACAAGAACACCTCTGATTACTCCTGCCATCATGACCCTTGGCCATAATATGATTTATCTCCACACTAGCAGAGACCAACCGAACCCCCTTCGACCTTGCCGAAGGGGAGTCCGAACTAGTCTCAGGCTTCAACATCGAATACGCCGCAGGCCCCTTCGCCCTATTCTTCATAGCCGAATACACAAACATTATTATAATAAACACCCTCACCACTACAATCTTCCTAGGAACAACATATGACGCACTCTCCCCTGAACTCTACACAACATATTTTGTCACCAAGACCCTACTTCTAACCTCCCTGTTCTTATGAATTCGAACAGCATACCCCCGATTCCGCTACGACCAACTCATACACCTCCTATGAAAAAACTTCCTACCACTCACCCTAGCATTACTTATATGACATGTCTCCATACCCATTACAATCTCCAGCATTCCCCCTCAAACCTAAGAAATATGTCTGATAAAAGAGTTACTTTGATAGAGTAAATAATAGGAGCTTAAACCCCCTTATTTCTAGGACTATGAGAATCGAACCCATCCCTGAGAATCCAAAATTCTCCGTGCCACCTATCACACCCCATCCTAAAGTAAGGTCAGCTAAATAAGCTATCGGGCCCATACCCCGAAAATGTTGGTTATACCCTTCCCGTACTAATTAATCCCCTGGCCCAACCCGTCATCTACTCTACCATCTTTGCAGGCACACTCATCACAGCGCTAAGCTCGCACTGATTTTTTACCTGAGTAGGCCTAGAAATAAACATGCTAGCTTTTATTCCAGTTCTAACCAAAAAAATAAACCCTCGTTCCACAGAAGCTGCCATCAAGTATTTCCTCACGCAAGCAACCGCATCCATAATCCTTCTAATAGCTATCCTCTTCAACAATATACTCTCCGGACAATGAACCATAACCAATACTACCAATCAATACTCATCATTAATAATCATAATGGCTATAGCAATAAAACTAGGAATAGCCCCCTTTCACTTCTGAGTCCCAGAGGTTACCCAAGGCACCCCTCTGACATCCGGCCTGCTTCTTCTCACATGACAAAAACTAGCCCCCATCTCAATCATATACCAAATCTCTCCCTCACTAGACGTAAGCCTTCTCCTCACTCTCTCAATCTTATCCATCATAGCAGGCAGTTGAGGTGGATTAAACCAAACCCAGCTACGCAAAATCTTAGCATACTCCTCAATTACCCACATAGGATGAATAATAGCAGTTCTACCGTACAACCCTAACATAACCATTCTTAATTTAACTATTTATATTATCCTAACTACTACCGCATTCCTACTACTCAACTTAAACTCCAGCACCACGACCCTACTACTATCTCGCACCTGAAACAAGCTAACATGACTAACACCCTTAATTCCATCCACCCTCCTCTCCCTAGGAGGCCTGCCCCCGCTAACCGGCTTTTTGCCCAAATGGGCCATTATCGAAGAATTCACAAAAAACAATAGCCTCATCATCCCCACCATCATAGCCACCATCACCCTCCTTAACCTCTACTTCTACCTACGCCTAATCTACTCCACCTCAATCACACTACTCCCCATATCTAACAACGTAAAAATAAAATGACAGTTTGAACATACAAAACCCACCCCATTCCTCCCCACACTCATCGCCCTTACCACGCTACTCCTACCTATCTCCCCTTTTATACTAATAATCTTATAGAAATTTAGGTTAAATACAGACCAAGAGCCTTCAAAGCCCTCAGTAAGTTGCAATACTTAATTTCTGTAACAGCTAAGGACTGCAAAACCCCACTCTGCATCAACTGAACGCAAATCAGCCACTTTAATTAAGCTAAGCCCTTACTAGACCAATGGGACTTAAACCCACAAACACTTAGTTAACAGCTAAGCACCCTAATCAACTGGCTTCAATCTACTTCTCCCGCCGCCGGGAAAAAAGGCGGGAGAAGCCCCGGCAGGTTTGAAGCTGCTTCTTCGAATTTGCAATTCAATATGAAAATCACCTCGGAGCTGGTAAAAAGAGGCCTAACCCCTGTCTTTAGATTTACAGTCCAATGCTTCACTCAGCCATTTTACCTCACCCCCACTGATGTTCGCCGACCGTTGACTATTCTCTACAAACCACAAAGACATTGGAACACTATACCTATTATTCGGCGCATGAGCTGGAGTCCTAGGCACAGCTCTAAGCCTCCTTATTCGAGCCGAGCTGGGCCAGCCAGGCAACCTTCTAGGTAACGACCACATCTACAACGTTATCGTCACAGCCCATGCATTTGTAATAATCTTCTTCATAGTAATACCCATCATAATCGGAGGCTTTGGCAACTGACTAGTTCCCCTAATAATCGGTGCCCCCGATATGGCGTTTCCCCGCATAAACAACATAAGCTTCTGACTCTTACCTCCCTCTCTCCTACTCCTGCTCGCATCTGCTATAGTGGAGGCCGGAGCAGGAACAGGTTGAACAGTCTACCCTCCCTTAGCAGGGAACTACTCCCACCCTGGAGCCTCCGTAGACCTAACCATCTTCTCCTTACACCTAGCAGGTGTCTCCTCTATCTTAGGGGCCATCAATTTCATCACAACAATTATCAATATAAAACCCCCTGCCATAACCCAATACCAAACGCCCCTCTTCGTCTGATCCGTCCTAATCACAGCAGTCCTACTTCTCCTATCTCTCCCAGTCCTAGCTGCTGGCATCACTATACTACTAACAGACCGCAACCTCAACACCACCTTCTTCGACCCCGCCGGAGGAGGAGACCCCATTCTATACCAACACCTATTCTGATTTTTCGGTCACCCTGAAGTTTATATTCTTATCCTACCAGGCTTCGGAATAATCTCCCATATTGTAACTTACTACTCCGGAAAAAAAGAACCATTTGGATACATAGGTATGGTCTGAGCTATGATATCAATTGGCTTCCTAGGGTTTATCGTGTGAGCACACCATATATTTACAGTAGGAATAGACGTAGACACACGAGCATATTTCACCTCCGCTACCATAATCATCGCTATCCCCACCGGCGTCAAAGTATTTAGCTGACTCGCCACACTCCACGGAAGCAATATGAAATGATCTGCTGCAGTGCTCTGAGCCCTAGGATTCATCTTTCTTTTCACCGTAGGTGGCCTGACTGGCATTGTATTAGCAAACTCATCACTAGACATCGTACTACACGACACGTACTACGTTGTAGCTCACTTCCACTATGTCCTATCAATAGGAGCTGTATTTGCCATCATAGGAGGCTTCATTCACTGATTTCCCCTATTCTCAGGCTACACCCTAGACCAAACCTACGCCAAAATCCATTTCACTATCATATTCATCGGCGTAAATCTAACTTTCTTCCCACAACACTTTCTCGGCCTATCCGGAATGCCCCGACGTTACTCGGACTACCCCGATGCATACACCACATGAAACATCCTATCATCTGTAGGCTCATTCATTTCTCTAACAGCAGTAATATTAATAATTTTCATGATTTGAGAAGCCTTCGCTTCGAAGCGAAAAGTCCTAATAGTAGAAGAACCCTCCATAAACCTGGAGTGACTATATGGATGCCCCCCACCCTACCACACATTCGAAGAACCCGTATACATAAAATCTAGACAAAAAAGGAAGGAATCGAACCCCCCAAAGCTGGTTTCAAGCCAACCCCATGGCCTCCATGACTTTTTCAAAAAGGTATTAGAAAAACCATTTCATAACTTTGTCAAAGTTAAATTATAGGCTAAATCCTATATATCTTAATGGCACATGCAGCGCAAGTAGGTCTACAAGACGCTACTTCCCCTATCATAGAAGAGCTTATCACCTTTCATGATCACGCCCTCATAATCATTTTCCTTATCTGCTTCCTAGTCCTGTATGCCCTTTTCCTAACACTCACAACAAAACTAACTAATACTAACATCTCAGACGCTCAGGAAATAGAAACCGTCTGAACTATCCTGCCCGCCATCATCCTAGTCCTCATCGCCCTCCCATCCCTACGCATCCTTTACATAACAGACGAGGTCAACGATCCCTCCCTTACCATCAAATCAATTGGCCACCAATGGTACTGAACCTACGAGTACACCGACTACGGCGGACTAATCTTCAACTCCTACATACTTCCCCCATTATTCCTAGAACCAGGCGACCTGCGACTCCTTGACGTTGACAATCGAGTAGTACTCCCGATTGAAGCCCCCATTCGTATAATAATTACATCACAAGACGTCTTGCACTCATGAGCTGTCCCCACATTAGGCTTAAAAACAGATGCAATTCCCGGACGTCTAAACCAAACCACTTTCACCGCTACACGACCGGGGGTATACTACGGTCAATGCTCTGAAATCTGTGGAGCAAACCACAGTTTCATGCCCATCGTCCTAGAATTAATTCCCCTAAAAATCTTTGAAATAGGGCCCGTATTTACCCTATAGTACCCCCTCTAGAGCCCACTGTAAAGCTAACTTAGCATTAACCTTTTAAGTTAAAGATTAAGAGAACCAACACCTCTTTACAGTGAAATGCCCCAACTAAATACTACCGTATGGCCCACCATAATTACCCCCATACTCCTTACACTATTCCTCATCACCCAACTAAAAATATTAAACACAAACTACCACCTACCTCCCTCACCAAAGCCCATAAAAATAAAAAATTATAACAAACCCTGAGAACCAAAATGAACGAAAATCTGTTCGCTTCATTCATTGCCCCCACAATCCTAGGCCTACCCGCCGCAGTACTGATCATTCTATTTCCCCCTCTATTGATCCCCACCTCCAAATATCTCATCAACAACCGACTAATCACCACCCAACAATGACTAATCAAACTAACCTCAAAACAAATAATAACCATACACAACACTAAAGGACGAACCTGATCTCTTATACTAGTATCCTTAATCATTTTTATTGCCACAACTAACCTCCTCGGACTCCTGCCTCACTCATTTACACCAACCACCCAACTATCTATAAACCTAGCCATGGCCATCCCCTTATGAGCGGGCGCAGTGATTATAGGCTTTCGCTCTAAGATTAAAAATGCCCTAGCCCACTTCTTACCACAAGGCACACCTACACCCCTTATCCCCATACTAGTTATTATCGAAACCATCAGCCTACTCATTCAACCAATAGCCCTGGCCGTACGCCTAACCGCTAACATTACTGCAGGCCACCTACTCATGCACCTAATTGGAAGCGCCACCCTAGCAATATCAACCATTAACCTTCCCTCTACACTTATCATCTTCACAATTCTAATTCTACTGACTATCCTAGAAATCGCTGTCGCCTTAATCCAAGCCTACGTTTTCACACTTCTAGTAAGCCTCTACCTGCACGACAACACATAATGACCCACCAATCACATGCCTATCATATAGTAAAACCCAGCCCATGACCCCTAACAGGGGCCCTCTCAGCCCTCCTAATGACCTCCGGCCTAGCCATGTGATTTCACTTCCACTCCATAACGCTCCTCATACTAGGCCTACTAACCAACACACTAACCATATACCAATGATGGCGCGATGTAACACGAGAAAGCACATACCAAGGCCACCACACACCACCTGTCCAAAAAGGCCTTCGATACGGGATAATCCTATTTATTACCTCAGAAGTTTTTTTCTTCGCAGGATTTTTCTGAGCCTTTTACCACTCCAGCCTAGCCCCTACCCCCCAATTAGGAGGGCACTGGCCCCCAACAGGCATCACCCCGCTAAATCCCCTAGAAGTCCCACTCCTAAACACATCCGTATTACTCGCATCAGGAGTATCAATCACCTGAGCTCACCATAGTCTAATAGAAAACAACCGAAACCAAATAATTCAAGCACTGCTTATTACAATTTTACTGGGTCTCTATTTTACCCTCCTACAAGCCTCAGAGTACTTCGAGTCTCCCTTCACCATTTCCGACGGCATCTACGGCTCAACATTTTTTGTAGCCACAGGCTTCCACGGACTTCACGTCATTATTGGCTCAACTTTCCTCACTATCTGCTTCATCCGCCAACTAATATTTCACTTTACATCCAAACATCACTTTGGCTTCGAAGCCGCCGCCTGATACTGGCATTTTGTAGATGTGGTTTGACTATTTCTGTATGTCTCCATCTATTGATGAGGGTCTTACTCTTTTAGTATAAATAGTACCGTTAACTTCCAATTAACTAGTTTTGACAACATTCAAAAAAGAGTAATAAACTTCGCCTTAATTTTAATAATCAACACCCTCCTAGCCTTACTACTAATAATTATTACATTTTGACTACCACAACTCAACGGCTACATAGAAAAATCCACCCCTTACGAGTGCGGCTTCGACCCTATATCCCCCGCCCGCGTCCCTTTCTCCATAAAATTCTTCTTAGTAGCTATTACCTTCTTATTATTTGATCTAGAAATTGCCCTCCTTTTACCCCTACCATGAGCCCTACAAACAACTAACCTGCCACTAATAGTTATGTCATCCCTCTTATTAATCATCATCCTAGCCCTAAGTCTGGCCTATGAGTGACTACAAAAAGGATTAGACTGAACCGAATTGGTATATAGTTTAAACAAAACGAATGATTTCGACTCATTAAATTATGATAATCATATCTACCAAATGCCCCTCATTTACATAAATATTATGCTAGCATTTACCATCTCACTTCTAGGAATACTAGTATATCGCTCA